GTACTCAAAACGTACCGAACCTCGCAAGCCAGACACAAAAATAGCTCCCCTCTGTCAGAATGTATCTGAAAAACCCCTTCAAACGGTCTGACTTTGCATAATTATCGTTCTTTCCGTGCCGTTTCAGCAAACTCAACAAAAGGGGCTAGGGCAAGGCATCATCAATTATACACAGGCAGGCTTGCGATATACAATTCGACAAAATAATGCGATAAACATGCAGATGTTGCCTGCCACTGGCACGGAGAAGATGAAAGTTTTAAAGGTTTTTTTGGGGGGTGTTTTTATCTTTCAAGTATGTTGCATGGCTCTCTCTCTCTCTCTCTCTCTCTCTCTCTCTCTCTCTCACTTTCTCTTGTAGCATCCAATTATCCAGAACATCAGTCTGGGTGCTAGGATTACGGGTATTTTATTGTCTTTTGGATTCTACTCCAGAAGAGCAGACTAGAGGCTGCTTTGAACGAGAAGTCAACCTATTTTAAACCCTTGAGCAAAGGATCGTGGTTCGAATCAGAAGTGTTTTCTTGCACTTGTTAAAATATTACACAGCAGACGCCGATTTCACCTCCCGGGGCAGTGCCACTGACTTAAGTGTCTTTAGGCCATTCCCAAAGGGGGGACATTTCTCGTTAAAGCATAGAAGAATTGTAAATGGTCTGACTCATGTCACGCTCATAACTGTGCCTGATCTACAACAGGGAACTGGTGCTTTTTCTTTCCTGATCCTTACTATTATCATTTCCTCTACTTCTTTTGTATGTATATCACTCTCTTGTGACCTGCTATTTCCGGGGTGCCTTGATAGTCGAAGCAGACCTTGTGCTGTTGAAGCTAGAGAGGTGAGCAGTCTAAGTCTGATTCCCTGTAAACACTTCTCTGTTGACACCCACCCCTTGGCGCTCATAGGACGTTATGCTGTTGCGAGCGCCGTAAAACCCTCTGCTATAAAAAAAAAAGACGCCGATTTTATAAGCAAGTTACAGCTATTCAGCCATATGTGTCACTGTGCTGTGGAATTTGGCGCTTGTCAAATTCTGGGCATATGGAGTTATTGATATCATCTTAAACTATTCATTTGCTTGCTTAAGGTGAAAAAAAAATACCCATCTACATATGTATGTTGAATATAGGTCGAGATATTTGCGATTAAAAGAGGTAGGGGATGCCTGATTTCAGAAGTAAAATTACCGCAAGAACGGCCGCCAAAGTTTGGTGACTTCCATAACTTGACAGTCTTTGGAAACCAAAAATTACATTTTTGCGCCTTTTCTAAACGATTTTCAGTAAAATCTACTCGGAAATGTATCTTTAGATGGACGTATAAGCTGTTGAACCAACTCCCTTAAACCCCCCCTCCCCAAAACCCCCCAACAAAACCAAAAAAAAAACAAAAAAAAAAACAGCAACAAAACAAACAAAAACAGCAAAAAATCAAACAAATTACAAACAAACATAAATTCGATAAAAATTTTCAAACCAGCGGGAAAATGCCGTTTTCTTCAATTTCAATGTTTTGACGAGAGCCTGATTTCGCCACGATATTTCATATGATATGTATTGCTATGGTATTTCCCTCTTCTCTCTCCCCCGTCCTTTTTCTTCTCTTCCCTCACATCAAGTTAACTTTTTTGTTCTTTTGTCATTCCTTCTTTCTTTCCGTCTTTTCCGTCTCTGCTTTTCCATAAAAATCCTTGATCCAATCTTTATGTTCTGTTTTACTTTCTGTCCTCACCCGTCTTTCTTTCTTTCCATTTTCTCTCGGTTCCGCCCGTAATCTTTCTTCTTCATTTAACTTCTTCCATTCTATGTGTTCTCCAGAGGAAGAGGAAGCTTCACCATAATTTTTCCCCTTTTCCCGTAATCCAATCTCTTACCCATAATTCTGTCTTTTCTTCAAATTATTTTTGACTCTCACGTTTTCCTAAGTTTTAGATAACGCCCAAGGAAATAACCTGAAAGTTGAACTTCTCTCCAAACATTTGCCTTAAGATTGTATCCATTGGAGTAAAAACAAAGATATGCAGAGAAGCAGATTACGCCACAAAGAGGAATCAATACCCTGTCTGGAAATGCATTCCATTTCGACAAGTTGAAAAGAATTAGGTTTTGTTAGTTTTTTTAAAGGGGGGAGGGTGAGTATTTGCAAGTTATTTTATTTTAAGTAGGCTGCTTTTAAAAAAAGCCTATTATTGGCGATATGTGAACGGAAAAGCGAGGAAAAGAGATTGGGAAGAGACATAATCTAAGATTTGACCCGCAAAAATATGTGTAAGGGCGATAAAGGCTTGGACACAAATATAGTCACTTAACATAAAAATTGATAATAACATGGCCACATGGTATAGATCTTGACAACAATAATATGATCACACAACAAAAGATTTGACAATAATATGGTCTCGTGACATGGAACTTGGCAATATCTGATGATACGACACAAGACTGGTCAAAAAATGGTCTTGTGGCTTGATATGATCACATGACTTAAAACTTGCCAACAATACGATCACATGACATAAAACGTGACAACAATATGTTCACAATCGGGACTTAACAACAATAGGCCTTATGATCAGATCGTATTATGAGACCTCACAAAGATATCTGATGACGTGACGTGCCATGACATATTGACATCTGACAATATGACATGATAGACTGACGTCTGGCGATATGACATAGAAGAAAGACGCCAGACCACCTGCCAGAATGACGTATAACCACATGACAAAGTGACGCTTGGCCACAATATAACGTGACATAAAAGAATGACGTCTGGTCATCTGCCAAAATGACGTATGAACACATGACATTGTAGTGACGCTTGACCACAATATGGCATACCATAAAAAAATGACGTCTGGCCACACGATATAGTGACGCTTGGGGACTTTATGACACGGCCCAGTGACGTCAGACGTTTGAGACAATGACCTAATGACCTGAGAGGTCCTTACCCGACATCCTCCTCTGCCAAGTCCTCTGTTTCCGGAGCATGGCCTCGTCAAGTGATTGGTTCCGACGTTTTCCGTAGTCATCCGGGAGAGGCCAGGGAACACAGGTCTTGGGCAGGAAGGCGATGGTGGACACGAGAAGGGGGACGATTCCGATAGTCAAGAACATGAAAGATGTCTGGACGTTGACTCCCTTGAAGTGAGACAACTAGAGGGAGAATGGGGGGAGGGGTGGATGGAAGGGAAGGGGTCGGTGGGAGAGGGGATGTGAAGGAAATAGTGAGGGAAGGAGGTTGGTTGTGAAGAGTGCCACATGATGATGTACTACTTGACAACAATGATGAGAGACAAGAGGGAAGGAGGAGTAATGGGGAAAAAAACCCAGGAGAGGAGATCGTGAAAAAACTTGACAAGAATAAGCATGACATTTAATTTATGTATTTATTTATTTATTTATTTATTTATTTATTTATGTTTTTTTAAAATTTCTTTCTTTCTTTATAATCAATTAACTAATGAATTTATTCATTCATTTTATCTTCTATTTCTTAAAAGAAAGTGCGGGGAGAAAAGATTGGGAAGAGACTTGACAAAACAATTTTTACGTGCTATACAACTTGACAACATTGTTGGGATCGAGGAGGGGTAGGGTTGTTGAGAGCGTATGAGGGTAAAGGAAACGGTTGCATTTTTTAAAAAAAATTGCGGCGGGGGAGGGGAGTTGTAAGGGGGAAGGGGAGGGTTGAATTGTGTGGTTGT